ACCCCTGGATCCCCGAGGAGGTCCGCAAGACGCTCGAGCGCCGCGCCCAGGAGGAGCAAGAAGCCGACAAGCGCAAGGCACAATACACCGTCGAACTGCAACGCCAAATCCAAGAAGCCGCCGTCAAGACCAAGATCCTAGAAGAGGAAGCCAACGAGGCGAAGCGCAAGGAGGAAGCCGAACTACAAAAGAGCTTCGAAGAGGCCGCCGCCGCTCTACAAAGAAGCATCGAAGAGAAAGCAGCTGAGAGGAAGAAGTTCGAAGAGGACCTCCAGCTCAAGCTCAACGAAGCGAAGGAGGCTGTTCGTCTTGAACTCGAAGCCAAGGCCCTTGCTGAATCCGACGCCGTCGCCCAGCGTCTCCGTGCGCTGGAAACTGCTATCAAGGAACAGGAGAGCGCTGAAGCTGCCACACGTCTCTCGGCGGCTCAAATACCGCTCAGCACGCTGCTGAAGAACTACATCATCCTTCTCCTCAGCGACAAGCGCAACTCTATTATCTTGTTACTGGCTGTTGCGGTTGCGTACATGGCGATGAACATGCGTGCTGCTCAGCAAGCACCCGCGTCGGCACAGATGCTAGAGCTCCCCACCGAGGTTGCGGCGCCCATGATGAATGCTGTTACGGCTACTATGACTGCGACGAGTTACTCTACATTTACGGTTACGGAGTTTGCCACTGCTACTGCTGTCCCGGTTCTTGAGATTGCGGATCCGGAGATCGAGTCTGTGGCTGAGGAAGTGAAGGCTGAGGTTGAGGTTGAGGTTGTTGTCGAGGACAAGGCGGAAGAAGAGATATCTACCAGCCCCGCTGTAGACCTCGAGCTCTTCGACGTCGTTGTGGAGCAGTCTACTCCCCTCGCTGCTGCTGAGGTTGAGGTGAAGACGGATGTCGTTGCTTCCAACCAGACACCCGCTGAAACCTCGTTCTGCGCTCCAGACGTTGAGCCTGTCTTCTCAGCTCCGCTTGCGTACTGCGCGGCTTCTGCTTAGGCGCTCTTTCGCCTTCCTCCTCCTCCTCCTCCATCGCCTTCTCCCCACCCCGCATATTTCCTCCTCTTTTTCTTTGTCCTTTGTTATATTTCTCCTTTTCTCTTTTCTATGAAGCTTATAACGCATACCCCTCACGGCCTCTAGCATCTACCTATCTATATGCATATATATGTGCGTTTGCATTTGCATACATACACCACACGATACTATACCATGTCTTTCATGTTTCATGTTCATGACGTAATGTAGCGGTTTCGATTGAAGATATCCCTTTTCTTTCGCTTTTTTTTTCTTTCTTTATGGTTGGGTTGGGTTGGGTTGGGTTGGGTTGGTCGACGACTTGGATGGTGTGGCTGTGGATGGGGATGGGGATGTGGATATGGATATGGATATGGGGAGTATATACCAATATGAAGAATGAAGATATGATATGATATTATGGTGTGTTACATGAGCTGTGTGTGTTTTGATGACTTTCAGACACTGAATTAGATTAGCAGTGTATATATGGAGGATAGCAGGCATATCAGTGTAGCGTGGAGATATTCGACCTAGCTTTGAAGTTCATTCGACAAGGGAAGGAGCATAGTAGCCCTATAGACTAGTCTTTGTGATTATCAGGTTTGTATCAAATAGAGCTCTGCAAGTATCATCATGCACAAGCATCCATGCTCCCGTCTACCTAACCCCAAGCCACATCAATATCCACCCACTCACCCGCCCCAAATCCCTCCACCGCCTACTCCTCAGGCTGAATACCCTTCTTCTTCAACTCCTCCCTCTTCCTCCCCGCCCTGCCCTTCGCATCCTCAACCCACGCCCCATAAGCCCCCTCGCCCTCATTCAACTTCGCCCTCGTAACCGCCTTCAACAGTTCGCCAACAAAGCCTACGAAATTGTGTCTCCTCAGAGAGTTTTCGTATAGCCACTTCGCGCGCTTGTCCTCCTGCTCTTCGAGTTCATCCTCGTCGCCTATCTCGCGTGCGCGAATGCGCAGGTCGCGACAGCAAGCCATAAGATTGAAGCGGATTTCTGAGGCGGGGTAGCGCGCAATACGACGTTGGAGGACGGGGATTATTTTGTTGGGGAAGTCGCTCGGGGTACAGGGACCGTGGAGGATGGGCGCGGGTTGGAGGCCGTCGAGTTCGTAGAGTTTGTTGTTTATGGATGTGTAGCTGGGTGTGTGGATTAGTGGACTGTGGGTGAGAGGTGATAGGGAAGGGAGGAAGGGGACTTACGCGATAAAGTGGAAGACATCGTCGTCTTCAGTAGCCGTCCTTTGTGTCTCGTCGACGAACGGCGAAGAGCGCGCGAAAGAGTTGTGAGTTTCGCGGATGAGATCCGAGTTCGACAGTGTTTCTCCTCGTAGCTATGCCTCTTTATCAGCCCCTCCTATCCAAAGCATCCAGTCAGTCCCTGCCTTCACTTCACATACCTCTGGCGGAAAGTCCCCCGCGAATTCCTTGAACTCCTTCAGTTCCTTGCCGATATCAACCTCCTCCTCCCTATTCAACAACAGCGAAACAATCGCCTGTGTACCACACGCATTCTGTATCGTTTGCGCAGGGAAGAAGAGCTTATTCGCCGCCTCGTAGTCGTACGTCCCGTCTTTCGGTACGTCGCTGGGTTTCTCGCCGGTCGGGTACTTGAAGAGGAAGATTACGCCGTACAGTGTACCGAGGGCTTGTAGGTCTGAGGGTTCGAGTGTGGTGAGTTCTTCGAACTCTACGCCCTTGACACCGAGCTTCTCGATGAGGTATGTGAAGACACCCTGTTGGGGTTGTTAGTATACGGTTTTCTTGGGGGAGGTTGAAGATGTGCTTACGGCATCGGACTCTATAGTGTTCCAGCCTCCCGACATAGTTGCGTGAAGGCAGAGCGGTGAGGTGCGCGAGTGTGTTGTCGATGTGTTTGGACCTACGCCATCGACAGGCGCCGCCGGAATAACTCCTCGGCCCGCGCTTCGGAACGTTCCGATGCCCCACTATGAATTGGAAGTGAACAAGGTCGTCCCATGTGCTGACCCTTCTACCCGGTATCGCTCGTGTTCATAGAATTGTCTTCTCGTGATCTTATAGGCTCGCGCTTAAATTTAAAGTCTTTTTATAAGAGACTTTAAGTATATATATTAGTAAGTTAGTAAGTTAGTAATAGTAATTTACTAAAGTTTATTAAAATAGTTATTTTTATATTTAACTATAGTAGCTAAAATAACTTTATAATAAATATATAATAAGTTAATTTAATAAGTTTTATAATAGCTTATATAAAACTAAAGTTAAAGCTTAAAATACTTATAAAAAAGTACTTTTTACTACTTTTTTTTTCTTTTCTTTATTATAATTATAAGTAATTAAAACTTTTAAGACTCTTTTTATACTTACTATTATTATTAGTATTTTTTTATTTTTTTAGTAAAAGTAAATATACTTAGCTTTTTAAATTCTAACTAATTACTCTAGAGTAAACTTTTAAGCTATACTAATACTTTAATAAAAGCTATTTTTAATATTAATACTATTAGTAAATAAATATATAAGTACTTTAAGCTTATAAGTAAAGTAAAAATAAGTATACTACTATTATAGAACCTTAGTAATAGTATATAATTTATTTAAGTATATAAGTACGCGCTAATATTTACTATAGCTCTAGGCTAAATATATTAAGTAGATAAAATCTATATACTAAAAGCCTTACTTAAAAAGCTAGGCTTAAGGCTATTTTTTATATATTATAAAAAGTTAATTCTAGAAAACTTATATAAATATAAAAAAAAGATAGTAAATTAAGTAGTTACTAGCTTTAGCTTATAGTACACGTAAGTAAAAGTAAAACTAGTAGAAATAGTAGTAATAAAGCTTTATAATAAAATTAGATTAGTAGCTTTTATAGTACTTTTCTATTTAAGTAGATAGTAGTATTATAAAATTATAAAATAAAAAAAACTACTTCTAGACTAGCGCTTTAGTAAATAGAACATAGATTATATTAATACATTAAGGTTGTCTTCTTGTGTTACAGAACAAACGTCTTGGCGATGTTGTATAGATGCGGCCACAGCATGGAATCGATGCATCAGCCTTGCAATGACGTCTACCTAGGTACTGTTCCAAAGTTCCACTTCATTCCAACCGTATCCAAATTTATGGCTAGAGCAAGGCCGGCGGATCTCCTTACTCAGTAGTTCTAATCATTTCAGATCTCCTTGCAAATTCTCCCTTGTCATATCTGTATACAGGTAGATCTGCTGTCTACCGGCAGATAGTTCGGAAGCACGCTCCTCAGCTTGCTTCACGACAAGCTCATACTATCAGGTTCTTTCTCCTTTCAATACTAGAGCCCCATTCCATTCACGTCGGTTATCACTTTCCCCTCCGTCCTATTGGCAGCTATGGCTACTAGTATGCATCGTGAGTGGGACTGTGCTGAACCCTGGTCTGCTTCCCGAGCACGCAATGAAGTTGCAACTTCGCGCGATGGACGTGGGTAGCGACTACCCAGATACGTCAGAGTGTAAACGAATCCGAACGTATATCAACACTGTGAATTTTGCAGAACTCAACTCTCACACGCAATCATGTTTCCAAGTCAAATACTACTGTTACTTTCCTTTAGCGTAGCCGCTCTTGCTGGGCGCTCTAGCAAACCCAACTTCATCTTCATTATTACCGACGATCAAGACTTACATTTGAACTCGCTTGACTACCAACCTGCTGTACAAAAGCACTTCGCGCAGGAAGGTACTTGGTTCAAGAAGCATTTCTGCACCGTAGCACTATGTTGCCCATCGCGAGTATCGCTCTTGACTGGGAAAGCTGCTCACAACACGAATGTCACGGACGTCTCAGCTCCTTACGGTACTTCGAACTTAAAGGAATAAGCTAGAAATTGTACTTACTACTAGCAGGCGGATATCCTAGATTCATTGAAGAAGGTTTTAATGATGCTTATCTTCCCGTGTGGCTTCAAGAGGCGGGCTACAACACGTATTACACTGGGAAACTGATGAACGGACACTCCACCTCCACATACGATGCACCGCGAGCCAGCGGCTGGAATGGTTCTGACTGTAAGCATCCCAGTACCACTACAGCGATGCTGTCCAGCGACTAACACCTGCAGTCCTGATTGATCCCGGAACATACGTCTTCTACAACTCAACCATGACGCGTAACCACGACGTCTACAGAAACTCACCTGGAGAATACTCAACCGACCTCGTAGCCAATGCCGCAGTATCCTTCTTAGACGAAGCCATCGCAGCACCAGACCGGCCTTTCTTCCTCGGCGTCGCACCCATAGCCCCCCACTCAGAAACAATCACCAACCCACGCCCTACAAAGTTCAACCTACCCGTCCCCGCAAAGCGACACGAGCATCTCTTCCCCGACGTAAAAGTACCCCGAACACCAAATTTCAATCCCTCCAAGGTACTACAATACATCCCCTTCCCCTCCGCACTGCACACCCCCATCTAACACCCCCACCCCATGCAGCCAGGAACAGCATCCTACTTCTCCACGCTCCGCCCGCTCAACGCCTCAGAAATCGCGTACAACGACGCCTGGTACCGCGCGCGCCTTCAAACCCTCCAATCCGTCGACGACCTCATCGAGTCCATCATGAACCGCTTGAACCAAAACCCCGAAGTACTGGAAAACACTTACTTGATATACACAACCGACAACGGCTTCCACATCAGCCAACACCGGCTCCCACCCGGCAAATCCTGCGGCATAGAAGAAGACATCAACATCCCCTTCTTCATCCGCGGCCCGGGCGTCTCCAAAGGCGCAGTGATGGATATACCGAGTAGTCATACGGATATCGTGCCTACGCTGTTTCATCTCGCTGGTATACCAGCCCGGGACGACTTTGACGGGGAGGTTATTCCTGTTACGGGGGCGATGCAGGAAAGGGGTGGGAAGAGCGAGCATGTTAATGTTGAGTTTTGGGGGGAGTATCTTGTGGAGGGGAATGTGTTTTATGGGCGAGATGTGTGGGCGGAGAATACGTATAAGAGCGTGAGGGTGGTGGGGGAGGAGTATGATTTGAGTTATACGGTTTGGTGTACGAATGAGTGGGAGCTTTATGATATGAAGGTTAGTTTTCTTTTTCTTTGTCTTCCCCTCTCCTCCTCAATCTTTACTCTCAAGGCTTGGGGAGGTGGATACTAATGAAGGATGGCAGACCGACCCCTACCAACTCACAAACCTCCTCTCCGCCCCCACCCCCAACACATCCACCTCCTCCATAACCTCCTACCCCATCCTCCCCCTCACCGCCCGCCTCGACGCCCTCCTCCTCACACTCAAGCGTTGCAAAGGCCGTGTGTGCACGCGACCATGGGAGAAATTGCATCCCGAGGGCAATGTACGCAATCTGAAAGATGCTATGCATGAAAGATACGATGTGTTTTACTTGGAGAAGCAGAAGAGGGTTAGCTTTGACGAGTGTGCGTTGGGTCAGATATTGGAGGTTGAGGGGCCGCTTGAGCCGGTGAGTTGGAGGGAGGAGTGGGATGAGTGGAGTTGGGCTACATAGATGAAATGATGAGGAGAGTTGGTTAGATGGTAGGGGAAGATTGGAAAGGGAAGGGGAGTGATGTGTAGTAGGATTGATGAAGGATGTTTCTCCTCCACGTCTGCGAGACGTGCTGAGCATCCAAACCTAATCAGAATGGAAAGAAACAGCATCGCGCCCAAGTCTAATCTAGATGGAACATGCCTCACTCTTCGAAGCAATCTTGCTTCGACACCGTCTGAACAGTATCAAGGCTGGTCCAGCTAAGCCATCCCTTCTCTTACCGCCGTTTCGAAGATCAGGGCATGGGCATGCACTCACTCCTCCCTGTCGAAGAAAAGGACACGAAAACGGCAGGATACATGTCCATCATCGGCGCTTCCGAAGAGCATTCCTCGTCAACATGTCCCCGACAAGATGTCCCATAAGAATTGAAGCACGTGTAGCCAGTTACTAACTATAATTCCAACCATCATGTTCTCAGCATGCAAGAAGTATAGCAGTACAAAGCAGAACTATACATTCACAGCACGTCTAAAAGCTGTTTGCAATTCTCTACAGAAGCTAGAGATACGCATACCAAAGTATCAAAGACAGCACCCCACATCGACCACTTCTTCGGCCGAGACCTCAAACAATCCCATCATCGCTCGAAATAATTTGCATGGCATTTCGCACGTGCAGCTACCTAGGTGCATCAGCGTAACCACAACCCCAAACTAACGTCTCAGCTCCTACCATTCAACCTCCAGAAATATACACAACCCCCCACCATCAAATCTTCAACCCTCCAATCACGCCCTCAGCGTCCCTTACCGGCACTTCGCGCCAACCTCGTATTTCGGAGTTATAAAAAAGTCTTACCCTACCAACATCCACGTTCCACTACCGTACTTTCAGCCTCACGCATGCATTAATGGCAGCGCCGCGCTAATGGGACGTGCCGTAAATACGAGAATGTATGACGGTACCGAGTAGAAGCCAGTGCAGAAGCTACGCGTCGCGTTCGAAGCGATCAACACCGCGTACGACACCCAGTCACGTTACCTAATGCAGTTCGCCCAACTTGCGAGGGATGTAGGACCGAGAGGAGGCCGTGCGTTTCCACTGTTTTCTCAGGGTTGAGAAAGGCTTGTTGGGTTTGGGAGGTTTGTCGATGTACGATGTACGAATCAGAAAGCATGTGTTAGTACGAGATGCAGAGTAGGAAGATCTTCGAAGACTATGTTTCACGCCTGCCACGCGGTGGACACTAAGTGTCTGTTGGGTTGTTCGAGTTGGGATCGATGTGTTTAGTAGTAGCGAAGGCAGCGGTGCCATGAGTGCGAGTGCTGTGATGCCACGATATGCGTTGCATATTCAAATACACACGCTACGTGTCAGTGTACTCGCTGATCCCTTTGCAACCTCACACGTAGCGTAACATCCTCACTACCATAATAGCAGTACATAGTAGCACAGCAGAGTCGCAATCGCAGTCGCAGTCGCATCGCATGCACAGTACCAGCAGATCTACCATCCAGCGGGTCAACTCCCCCCGTCTTAGATATGCCCGCAAACAGCCTAGTCCCTCCCCCAAACCCCCAATTGGGGGGTTTGGAGACACAGAAAGCATACAAGGTGAGGCTTAGCTCCCCGACTATACAGGACTAAACAGTTATCGGAGGTGGGCGTGGGCGGTCGGAAGGAAGGAATGCGGGAATCGACTGATAATGACATCGTGGGGTGCTCCGTCCGGCAATCAGTTCAGGCAGATTTGCGGGCGAAAAGGGTGTGTGTGTGTGTAGGAGATGTCTCCGAGAGCTGATGGTTGGGGGTCGACGTAGAGTTTAGGCAGTTGGGTGTTAGTCTTCGCGAACTTATTTAGTTAGCAGTGTCGACGGTCGGCTTTCGCTTCCAAAGTTTTTGCGCAGAAACGTGGCAATGCGACGCGGCGTTAGAAGAGCGCCAGAAACGCCAGAACCCATCGGATCGTGCTTGTCCGAGGTGTGTGAACCAGAGGAAAACAAACTTTGGCATCGTGGCATTCTCCGCGAAAACGCGCCATGGCGATGGTTGAGCAGCGTGCACAAGTCGGGGACAGGCCAGCCACACGGCTAACGCAGCTCTGGTGTCCGTGCCAGACGCGAGGCTCTACTCGTTCTTTCGTTCAGCCACCCCTTATGTACGCGCGGATCATATCGTCGAGGCTTCGGAACTTTCTCCAGCATTCGGCTTCATCACGCCTAGGTTCATGTACACACAGTACATGATGTACCTACAGCGACCGACCGACCCTCCGCCTCGGCTCGACATGACAATGACCACGCTGAGGCTCACCCACCCACCCACCCATGCACGCTTGATCCCCAGAATAGAAATTATCAATGACCTGTTCGGTATTAGTAGAAATCGGGGGCTGCTGCTGCTGCTGCTGCACGGCTGTCAGAAAGTAGAGATCTGCTTTCCTGCAGGTGCTGGTGCGTGAGCGCTGGCAGGGTGCGCGAGCGCAGGTGCGCATCCTTCGGCCGACCGAGCTCACGCATTTTTTTTTGTTTGGTTTGGTGGTTGATCGTCACCGTCACGTTTTCTCCTCTCCCTTCGGAAGCCGGACAAAAGCCAGATCCGAGCCCCGGGCGGTGGTTGGTGGATTCCAAGTGCGGTGAACCAAGAACCCAACGTCGAGTGAGACTCGAGTCAGCGCTCGCTGGTACACCACGGCGTAGTGCCCGTTGCGTTCTGCCAGGTCAGAATTTTGGAGTGTCATGGTGCTGCAACAAGAGGATACTATGGCGAGTGGAAAACCATCTGCATCATTCGATAGTTCGCAAAGTTCCGATTCTTTTGGTGGATGTGATGAGTGATCATTTATGCAAACCTACTCCATTTCCACATCCTCGAGACGAGATCTCGGCATAATTGCGCCGCAACAGCCCACACACGGAGGCCGTGGGCCACGGGAGAGTGGAGGACATGCCCTGGGCGTCCGACTCTGAGCGGCCATCGAAGAGAAAAAACGTGTAGGGCGCGATGGAGACAGCGGAGCCCAAACGTTCCAAGAGAGCGGAGCCGCTTGAACAGCGTCCCTCAGGAACGGCGGAAATTTCTTGTGGGTCGCCCTCTCACATTGGGAGGCGCGTTTGTTGGAGGGAGGAGAGGACCTCGGGATGCAAGCAAGCGTGCGCACAGAGTTTCTACTCGCCTGCCCTGGTCCATCGTCCTTCCGCTAACTCGACACCAGGGACGCGGCTAAGCAACCTGCCGGACTCCCATGATGCAACTGCTATCCGGGATGTCTGAAGCAGCTGGCCAGCAGACGACCCAAACATTTTCACCTGCAAGTTGCAACACTACCGGGTAGCTCTCTTTCTCTCGCGCTCTTCGGGCAGACCATGGATATGCCTTGTAAGAGCTCAAGTACCGAGATGCCGAGGAGATGGTTCTCGCAGTCCCAATCCAAGAACAACCCTGGAGACCCTGGCGTGAGCACTATTAGCTAAGACGTAACAAAGTGCTGGAATTGTCGGTGAACCGCTTTGGGATCGCAAAGCCGAAGGCAGCCTTCTTATTGACAAGCAAGTGTTGCGACGGCAAGTGTGTGATGGGCTGGCGATGGAAATGGGGAAAGGCAGCGAGAAAGTGGAATAATTGCGAGAGAAAGTCATAGGAACTTCGCTTGCACCTTCCACTTTGCATGCTGTGGCTGACATGGATGCCGCTCCCGTTGTTGTCGTTATGGTTATGCATTGGAATCCTCCAAACGCCTGACGCCGCACGCAAAAACGACCAATCGACATCGTGATGCGCAAGTCCCTTGGAACACACCATATCAGCCCTATCTCCCTAACGTTGACCGGTCTCTGCACCAACAAATAGTACGCCAAGCCGGAGCATTCTGTGGCGGTGCAGCCATCACAGCATTTTCGCAATCCCACACAAAACAAGGTTGGCGCAGACAGCATGTGTGCGTGGCTGGTGAGAGAACGGTGTGACGATTCGTACGCGTTAGCCAGGCTAGGCGAGCAGCAAATCCTATCCCGCTACCCGCGAAAAGCGAAATCCAGCGCACTGGTATGACATCAAGCTCGAGCCTACTGTACGCTGTAGGTCATACCTTAGCGCGGCCGTTGTCTTTTGATCCTTAACTATTCTTTCTTTCGTCAGGGTTACCCAGCCGGGAAAACCTGGGAGTTACGTCTTGGGCGGCATTGAAGAGAACTATTGCGCTGAATCGAGACTGCATTGTCGGCAACATGCTTGTACGTAAACCCGCAGTGCTGGGTTGATAATTGATAATGGGAAGCGATGGTGGGGGATTCGGTCTTGATTGGCGGCAGATGGCTAAAATTGGTAGCTGACCTGTCCATCTTTCACGCGAGCATGCAGGGCAGACCCTGGCCATCACATGGAGAAACTAGGACTAGGGCTGAGAAACTAGGA